CTGTTCAACTTATATACGAATTTTGAAACTTTTTATTATTAAAATTGTTATTTTCACGATTTATTTTGAACAGTAAAATAATACAGGATGAACAGAAATTTAACCATTGATTTTTTGAGTGATTTTGAATGAAACTGTCATGTAATATTTGCTCAAACGTCAATGGTTAAGGTATTGTTAACGAAATTTGCCAATTTTTACTGATCTTAACGAAAGCCTTAGCTTCTTGGGAAAGAAGAAATCCACCCATAATCCATAAATTCGTTCATTATTGTCACTTCGCGATGGTTTCTTGCTAGTTAAAGAAAATCGAAGTTTGAAAAAATTTCTGGAAGAAAGGTTTCGAGCGGAACGTATTTTTATTAAAATATTTTAATTCACAACATGCTGAACTTCTGGTTCAGGTAAATCATAATTCGGAGAAATCCTTTAAAATCTGGAAAAATTTGATTGTTTCAGGCACTTCTTAGAGGAGCTTTAACTCAACAAAGTGCCGTTATCCTCGTCTGCATGGCAATTGATCGTTACGTTTGTATGTTGCATCCACATCATTATCACAAGCACGTATCTAAAAAGGTATGTTACTAAAATCATGTCTTAAATCTTAGTTTGATCATTCTCAAAAATATACTTTATACATGATCACAAATTCTTTTGTATTTCATTGTCCGTATGACGACTTTCTTTTTTAACAATCAATTTCTCTTGCTCTTCTCTCGACGTTTATGCAGCGGAATAATAATCTTCTCTGTATGAAATATTTGCATTTTTTCGTACTCTACAAGGAAAATGTGTTATAATAATTGTTCATTTATAAACGAAAATATAAAGACGATTCTGTGGTCGTCTTTCTTTTTACATGGAATTTTTCACGGTGGTTAATATAGTATTTATTAACACAAAACATTCTTAAAGAAGCTTTCTTAAAGAATTAATTGCGTATATAGAATTATTTTGATATTTTCATAACGTTAAATCGACTTGTCCACGAACAAAGCTTTAAAAAATGCACACTTCGATCTCGTATTATCGGGCACTTTGCTATATAGTAGCCGTTTTTATGGGAACAGTAATTTCACTCATACTTTGGGGGAAAAAATTACACGTTGCCTAATATCAAGGCTATACTACTTACTTATATGATACAAATTTTAAGGGGCAATTCTACACGATAAAACGGAGAAAAAATATCGAGAATAGAAAAATTCTAATTTCGACCTCATTTTTTTAGTTATGAACACTTAGGGTCCTGCAATCCTTTCGACGTTGGAAAATGTAAAACAGTTCAATTTGTGTAGGGAGATCATTGGCCCTCAAAATCAATGGAGTCTTATTTTCAGTTTATTCTGTACAAGCTAGGAAAAATAATCCCACTGATAACAGAAAAAATAAGCGTTAATTAATTAACTTGTAAATGTCTAAAAATACGGTAAAATCGTCACGTGAGAACAGCATTTTATCGAGTAGCTTCTTATCGATTTCGTTGTCGAAACGGTTCTGCTCTTTACAAACATTCCAGAAAAAAATGCTATTATACTTTTGCTGTGTCATATTGCGTGAGAACTCAGTTGGGAGGTCAAGTTGCCTGAAGTCATACAGTTAGTTGATCTTGGACGTCATAAATTTTACTTTCAAAGGACCGAGAGTCTTGACTGAAAAGTCTTGAATGAACTACGAGACACACACACACACACATATTACTGTAATGTATTTACATGTAGAATGTCAGGAAGTCGACTGGTTTATGCAAAGAAACGTATATTTGCAGAGACAATTTTATCACATCCACGTAAACTCCATTAAACCATATAACTTTTCCCTCCACCATTTTTTCCATTTTCCCTATGAAAAAAGTTCTAAAGTAATACACACTATATTACAGACTTCAGAAATGATTTGAAATACAGTTTAAAAAGTAATTTTCAAAATTACTCGCTTAAATTATTTTAGAACTCTGCTTATAAAATGATTCGGGGAAAGTAGCTTTATTTTGTGTCAAGATTAAACAAATAATTTCGAAGTAATTCGCTGTTTCAAAATTTATCCAATAATCGAATATATTGCTACATTCAACTTGGAGATTTATAATTGTAAATATACGTTACTGAAAATAAATATTGATAATTTAAATAAAAATTACTATACTAATTTAAAAAATTACTGATTTGTATTATAATTGTAGCGAAGATTAGTTTCAGGTTACATTATACCGAGTTTACTTTTTAGAAAATAAGAGCCTGATACGTAGGTTGCTTTAAAGTTTGTGCGTTTGTAACTTTTATGGTAGATTTAGGTGACATCATTATTATAGTCGAGATAAGAGAAGATGGTGGATTTTACTAAAGTTTTAGAAGGAGTTTCGTACATACTGTTTCTCTTTTAGCGAAAAAGGTCCGGAGCGGAGGGTACTGGCTGCAGCTTGTAAAATGATCGCAGCTATAATTGCAGCACTTTGGCTAGAATGTTAGGAGTTTTGATACGGTCCTTAGTGAACTAATTTTCTGTGAATTTTACGCACTACAGAGTCTTACTCCATTTTTTTTTAAACGTTTAAACGTTTGACAGTTTTGCATAGCGTTAAATAGAATGTTTATTAAAGAATTCTATTTGAAAATGGGTATGAAATTACCCACTTTCTATTCCTCTAAAACTTTGCATATTTGTAAATCCATAAGAGGGTCATTAATTTCCGGTGTCAGTTTTTTTTTTTATCGAGCTCGACGGTCAGGAGTGTGAGGGAATTAAAATGCGCATTTCACAAAACACATCGGTGGATATAATTTTTGGCCAAAGAAGATGTCGGAATGTGCTTCGCGCCAAAAAATCGTAAAAAATTCAAGCTTGTTGGCAACGTAGATTTATACACTTAACATTTTTTAATGTAATTTTCGCGGGACTTTTTTCTGTTTTACGGGACCGGAAATTCCAATTCCCAAGACCGCGTCGTCAAATTTGAACGAGAAACATTGCACAACAAGCTTATTTTATGCACTTTCAGGTGTTACAAACCAAACATTGGGGAAACTTTTAATTCTCGAGTTATAATATGAAAGAGGCGATATTAGATAAAACAATTCTTCGTCATATATGAGGATTTGGAACTTGTGTATACAGGGTGTTCGGTAACAATTGGTATAAAATTTTAGGAATGTTTGTAGAAGCCAAAAGAAGACGAAAATCAAGAATAACAAAATTGTGTTTGAAGCCCCGTTTTTTGGTTGTGTACATTTAAAAATATCCCTGTGGCCGAGCAAACCTCCCTACACCAACGAATGTAGGGCATGTCAAGACACAGGAGTACTGTGGTCCTCAAAACCAATGAAACACGGCCGGCAGTTTACTTCATACAGGTGTTGAAAAGAAGACAATGGGATTTGACGCCATGAACGAGAGAATGGTTTGGATATGCTTACGTAAATGAATCAGGCTCACGTGTTGTACATCGATAATTTGATTTTAAACAAGGTGAGAATTTTACCAAGAAAAATCGTAACAGATGATTCTACGTATTTTTGCTAGGACAAAATTTGAATTTATTATCACTAACGACCTCTTTTATTACTGATGTAACGCTTGCGTGTTCAAGCGTGGCCAATTTAATAATTGTGCCCATTAATTCATGTTACGATCTGTAAATGGCCATCGAGGCTGAGGTGAAGATGCGTGGTTTGACCGTGCCGTCGACAAGCACAAGGCACGTTGTTCTCATACACCACAATTACATCGCTGAGATGGAGATTACTTTTGGCCTGGGTCCATTTTTGACACTATTGAAGGGATAGCACGTAGTCTGTGCGCCAGAAATGATCTCGCATACATTGAAGCAGATGTTACCAAGTGAAGTTGGAACTCTGTTTCCCCCCTGGCATTATATGGCGGGAATCCTCATCATCATCGGTGATCCACGGTTTTTGAAACTGGTTTCGTCGGAAAATAGCCCCTTAGGAAAAAAAGAAGAGATCACGCAACATTTTCCACTGAGACCATTGACCATCACCGTGCTTTAACCCAATTGGAGGGAATTTTTCTCTTGAAGAAGTCAAATCGTGTCTTTTCTGATTTTTATAAAAGACTAGAAGAGCTTTGGAAGGACAGTATCGTTTTGACAACGAAAACGAAACTTTTCAAGAGCTACTCGACGAGATAAAGCACTTATTTTCATCTTTTTCTTCTAATTACTTTACAGTTATGAAATAATAAGTTAATTAGTTTCTGTTTGGTATAATCAGTTGAATTTAATTTACTACGGTGCAGTGTATTTTTAATACAGGTTTCATTTATTTTTCTTCAGTTCTTTCAGTTTTCTTTGTTCTTTCTTTCACTTTTCATTTCGTACGTACACGTGTGTATGGGAATATTGTAGTGTATAGTGATTGTTATTCAGTGATTTGCGTGTATTGTGTTTGTTGTATGCATAGTGTACGTTGTGTTTGCAGTACACAATGAAATACACATTTGAAGAACTTCCCGACATGCACCTGTATTGTGGTGAAGCAAACAGAAGTCGGTAATGTTGTTTTTGGCGCCGAATGTCACTGCCTTCTTTACGGTTTGTCCGAGGTAAAGTGCTGGTCATGTATCGTCAGTTTTGAGGATCACTGAACCCCCCTGTATCTCGACATGCTCTATATTCGTTGGTGTAGGAAGGGTTGCTCGTCTACGGGGATATTTTTAAACGTTAATAAGTAAAAAACAAAGCTTCAAACGCAAATATCTTATTGTTGAGTTTCGTCTTGTATCGGCTTTTAGAATCACTATTATAATTTTTTTCCAGGAGTAACCGAACACTCTGTATACAGGGTGTCTGTTTTTAACTGGACACGGTGGAATATCTAATTAGGAATTAAAGGTATTAAAAAAATTATACGATGTCGGGGCGTTTTGGCGTATGTTCAAAGATAAACATACTGATATACGCAGAAATTATAACTGAAATGTGTACGCATTATTAGTTGAACAAATTCGTTAATATGCTTACATAAAACAATCGGTTTGATCAAGCACCAGTCGCAAATCTATACGTTTTCCATTACTATTAGCGTTTATTCAGCGTACTCTCTGAAGTTGTATAAAACTATACTGACTTATTTTATCATTTTTCCTGTATTCTCCTAATACTATGAACATCAAACACCTTTTGGAACCGAAACATTTTATACAGATGCTTCTGTCTAATTAAAACATGTTTAACTTGAGCAGAATAAAGAAGATGTGAAGGGTACAGTTTGTCAAGTGCATACACAAATTATATTACAGATTTCGACTTCGGTGCAACAACGTATTCAAGTTAGAATATGATTAGTAAATCGATTCCATTATTAGGAGGAAAACTACATAATGTACATCATTGAATATATTTTTGTATGCTCTACGTGATTGTCAAGTCACAATTAGAGACATTGAAAACTTAAAACTTATTCGATCCAAAAATACTTCACATATACCATAAACAATGTGCCTTTTATCACCAAAAAATTAATGTACATAACTAATATGTATACGTAAAATGATTCATAATGTTGAGAAACTTAGTCTTTTATCAGATAATTTCATAAATTAAAGTAAAGGGTAATTGGATAGTGATTTCATTATCACCGTGAGAAAGTATCTACTTTTTGCAGTGGTTCACTTCAGAACATTGAATCTTGTACACGTAGTCGCATGTATGTTCATATTATGCTTAATTCTCGAAAAGAGAAAAGGAGAATGATTATTTTCTGTGTATGTGACGCAGTATTACATGCGGCAGGGTTGCGTGGCAGTGATGTCAACTACTTGGATAGCAAGTGTGGCGATTTTTGGTGCTCTCGTGCTTCCAAGAGGTGGTTACTACTTCAACAGTTCTGGTCTACTCGCCTGTGATCCTTTCTTCGCCAGGGCTTCGCTTAGGTATTTTCGAAATATACAGTAAATTACATTCATGAAATTTACATTCATTTGTTAAGTGCATCTTCCTTTTTTGCGAAAATTGTTTATTAATTTTGTAAGTGAAACGTTTCTTTTTCTTTTCTTTAAAATTGATCTCTGTGTGTACTGAAATATCGTTAAATAATTATAATTAACATTTGATTCGATGTTTTTCTCATACTTCGCGATTAAATGTTGATTTATGAACTATACGAGTACAAGCTGACTCATTTAAATCTATCCCATCGAATATCTTTGAATTTATCGAAGACACTGAAAAATGTTTCAGATAAAAATTGAATTATAAAGATTGATAGTTTCCAGGAGGACACAATTTGATGATATTAATTTTTTTCATAGATAAACGCGCAGAGTACATATGACGGTCAAATGTTTTTTTAGATAGAATCGTATATTTTTTAACGCATTATTCAATGAAGCTTGCAATTCTTAATAAAAAAGTATTAATCTACTTATGCCAAAAAATCATTAGTTTAGGAGATATTTTAATTTCAATATTGCACACTAGGAGATAAGGTCAAGCATAAGATGTTACATGCCACGCGAGCTGGCCGCACAGAGATAGAGTTGTACCACTTTGAAATATTGAAATTAAAATATCTCCTAAAGTAATGGTTTCTTCGTATAAATAGTTTAATACTTTTTTATAGGGAATGACGAGCTGAATCGATTAATGTATTGAAAGATGATATATAATAAAAACAAATTGTTAATTCTATTTCATTAGATACATGTCAACCCAATTTAAGTAATTCACATTTTCTACGAACACTGGACTTATTTCTCCTCTCACCTTTATTCTATTGTTTTCGCACATACGAAAAGATAATTTTGATCCATAATGTTTTTTTTTCTTCTAATTTTCAGAATTCTTGCGTGCTGTTGTTTTTATTTTCCTACAACGATGGTGCTGATGTACTGCTACGGTTCAGCTTTTCACGTTAATAAATTGCGCTTGAAGAGGGTGGTTTGCGTTAACACACCGGAAGTCGTTAGTGGAGGCCATATGGAGAGGGTAAGTCAAGTTTGGTGCCACTCGAACTTCCAATCAATGGGCTCAATTTAAAAAGGAACCCAGCTGATAACAAAGAACCATGATAGTTCGTTTAACCGTTCTTTTAATCACTTCTTATTATAGGATTGAATTTACGTTCGTAACAAAATCTTAATAAAGTTCAATATAAAAAAAAATCAGATAAAACACAGCTAGATGTTGTGCTTTCAATAATGAAGATAATACAATTTCTCGAATGTAAATAATTTCAGATGATATAGTATATTTCATATAGTGTTTCTCATAAATCACAAAACTATAATCGAACAATAAGATCTCACACAAGACCGCAAGGTATAATAATTTTTTGGAAAATATTTACGTGTTATTGTTCACATGAAAATTGAATTTTTAATTCATGTCAAGTTTTCTTATCAGCAAAGAAAGGAAACAACAAAAAGAACAGAATCTTGGATTTACTAAAACGACTTACAAGCAGTAGTTTTATTTGAACGTGAACAAGGACTTATAGTTCATCTAATTATTATTTTATTAATTTATAGATAACAACTGAAGTTTCTTTATATGTATAAGTTGTTACAATTAAAAAACGAATTTTTCAAGTTCGATTACCTCGATGACGAGTGTAAACTTTGACATCGACAAACTTCAATTATGACAACAGAAATCTTTGCCTTCGTGATAATCAATCTGTCGAATTACATATACCGAGTTCTAACATACCGTGAAATACTTAAGGTGTTTCATATCACAGAGGAGTTGTTTCAGTGAAAATACGGTGGATACAAAAGCAACGAAGCAGAAGTATTATTTTTTTAGTAGTGCACAAATTAATTAGCAGAAGGAGAAAGTTTGTAATCGACCGAAAAGTCACGGGTCATTACCTTCTTCCATACATAAATACAACTTTCCTACGTTTTAAAACTATATCCAGCAAGCTCAGAGTCATCGAACTAAACTAGGCTAAGTGTACGTCTGGATCACCAGAGTCTGGAATTATTGGAAAACCAAAGTTAATTCAGTTTAATGAGTCAACCATGTCCTCAGAACTTCAAATGTCTCTTTTATACACACATAATATTATAATGTAAGTTAATAACATACTAATTCAATAAACATATTGTAATTACGTACTACCTGTATGAAATTACTTGTTTCTGATTATTTATTTATTTACCTTCTGTGAAAAACATACCACGATTACAATTCACTGTCAATTCTATCGCTATATTAACCAATGGTTTCCTTTATATTTATCACTGCATGTATACACGTGCTCAGAGATAAAACCAAATAATCACAGATTTAACGTAAATTATCAGCAAAACACAATTGTCGTTTCGTACAAGAAAAGATGTTTTCGCAATTTTCCGATAAACCATGTCAAATAATTCGTAACAATCGCACATTAATCGGCAAAAAGTTACACATTTCTTTACCTCAGCTTTCAATAATATGCTTTTCGAAGATCGATGGATATGATGGCCCCATGTTGGGCGCCACTTGTAAGATCGATGGATACTAGGAAAAGAATTGGTTCAGCAAAATTTCTTCACTGCTGGTTTATTTAAATATCGAAGATGTCTCCTCACGAACAAATTCCACTCAGAGAGTTACAAGTTAGCACAATTTGTTTGAAAAAGAAAAAAAAATGTGAACGGTGTCTAAGCCAGCTTCCTCTTGAGCTCAGCAATAAGGATCTTCAGGGAGAAGCAGGATAAGAAAAACGAACAGAAATGGCTCAATAGAACTTCTTTACTAGTGATTTATTTAAATATTAAAGGTGTCTCCTCAGGTGTAAAGTTCACTTAGAAAGTTACAAGTTAGCACGATTTGTTTAAAAAAAGATGCGACCGGTGTCTAAGCCAGACTTCCTCCTGAGCTCAGCGATAAAGATCTTCAGGGAGCAGGGATAAGAAAAAGAAGGTTTAAAAATCTCTCCAAGGCAAAAACAGAAGATTCTTTCCCAAAATTTATCGCAATACGACTCGGTTATCTTTCAAATGACAGACAGAAAAGCACATTGCTCTTACTCCATCAATAAAATCCTAATCATTATTTCAAAAATCGCGGAAGCTTGATATTTTCAACTATTTCGTCTTCTAATAACGTCAAATCAATATCCTCGCGTGTAACAATTGCGAAAAGTCCATCAATAATGTCTTTACCCATTAGAGCACGAAGAAGTTTCCCGACTCAATCGAGTGCTGCTGCACCCAAGTTGGACTCTTGAAATTTTGTTTTAAGAGTTTGCGCTTTTCCTAGACGGTGCTGTTCTCGGTAACGATGATCGGATGACCTACATATTGTTAATTCTTCCAAATTTTGGTGGAACGTTTCCGCAGCTATCGTTAAAATACGCGTCTCTATCGCTAGCTTTACATCTGTCGAAAGCTGTGACGAAATTTGGAATCGTTATTTTGTGACATTTTCGCTGCTTTTTCCTTCAGCTGTGACGGTCTAGCTTCCATTATTTCTGGCATGTACGGAGCACGTCAATATCTGACTTCTGGAACGTACACAGCATTAGCAGCATTATTGGCTATACAGATGGGAACTTCCACCCTTCTGGGATGTCTTTTTGTCCCCGCGGTGGTGGGAAACAGGCATTGCTGGAACTTCAGTTCTTCTACTGCAATCTTAACCCGGGGGGCAGTATTTCAACTTTCTTAGCAAAACATACCTTTCAGCAGTGTTTTATCTGTACGGGACGGTTCACGCTTCGACACAGTTTTTAAGATATAAAAGGTGTACAAAAGATTCGCCGGCACATTGTAAATATTTTATCTCGTGAATTATTGATTTTTTGATCATCCACCTCTGATACTTCTATACACAAGATAACCCGAAGAATCGATTTATGCAAGAAAGATTATATAGTTCCCCTGGTAAAAAGAGTGCAGTTGCACTATGTAACCGCGTCAATGCACATAATTGCATAAAACTAATGCAGAAATATAGAACGTAAAGTAGATACTTTATTTTGCCCTCTGTAATTTTTTTCTATCTTCCGTTTGGAAGATATATCTGAGTTGCGTGAAGCGCGCTGTATATGATCGAAAATTGTTATGTTACTATATATCTGGAATAACTAATGTAAACTGATAAGAAGCTGATAATAGATATTTCTAACAAAGCTAAACACGTTATGAAAAATGTCCATCTAACAATGCTTCACTTAGGCTTCGAGTTAACGATCGGTTGAATAGAAGCACCATTAATTATACTCCTCGAATGAAAGAAGCATCGTAGGTTTGCGGGAGCCTTTTTTTAAAGGGCAACTTTGACGAACAGTTTGATTAATGGAATACATCGTGAACAACTTATTTATAAGAATGTCTACCTTTTCCCTCTATTCCATCATTCTGTTTTCCTCCCTTTTATGGTCCTTAGCTTCGATGTAGGTCAATGGATGCGGGAATGTCTTTTAAAGGTATTCTCGAGACTGCAGTCGTGCCGATGTGTAAGATTCTGCACAGAAAAGGGAGCAAGCTTACTGTGCGCGTGGTTACCTAAGAGGGATAAAAGAGAACGTTCATTGTCACTTCTTCAAGTTTCAATAGAAACTATTAAACCAGCCTCATTCATCATATAATTCGTCATTTTTACATCTAGATCCATCCAAACGCTTGATTTCTTAAATTGTCCTTCGATTATTAAATTTTGTTCAAATATGTTTTGCAACAATGTACCAAGCGATTCGTCCAGACAGGTATATGTATAATTCACGGAGATGAAGTCTCGTCAAGCCCTGAACACTCTTCTTTCGCACCTCGATCATTCTAGCTCAAGTATTCTCCGTTCACGCAACTTTCATTCCGGACTAAACACGCGCAGAATTTCTATTATTCCCACGGTTAGGTGTATAGCAACATAAATACATAAGTGTGCGGTACTTGAAACTTGCGACACGATTACTATAGAACCATGACCGCGGAAGAACCGTTGGGCTTGCAACAAATTAACGACGCAAAGACGATATCCTTGTAGGTGGTGTAACATGGCGAATGAAACGTAATCTTGCTAAGTTTCTACCAGGTTTCTATTGCAAAAGTTGATGGTGCTTTTGTGACTGTAGCAGTGTGAATCTGTTTATTTCAACTACGGCGTAAAATACCTATACAGTTTCGGTTTGTGTGGTGAGAGGAGGAATGAAAAAGGTGGATAGGTAATTGGACATTAAAGAAAACGTAAGAAAAAAGTGAGGCTGGAAAGTGACTTGTAAAATTGGAGGGATGTGGGAAAAACGAGGCAAGGAAAGAAGGGTGGCGAAAGTGAATGCGATGCGTCTCGAGCTGGTTTATGATACGACGAGGAATTTGTTACGGTGTTGGAATTAAGGTTGCAAAGGAGTGATCTATCGCTTTATGGTTTCACTGGTCTGGACAATAAGTGTAATAATCGCGGGGAGTCGTTCTTTGTGTCGTAATCGTGAAATTACAGAATAGTATCTTTCATCTTCGTCGTTCTTATTGTTCAGGCTACACAGCCGGGTTTACGCTATCAATAAAACAGAGCGATGCAATTTTTTGGAGTCGTTCGTTTTACCTCGGTGCTTCTTTTATTTGTCTATTGACTTTCTTACGGAAGTTTTTCAATAATATTTTTTCAACGGCAACGGATGCAGAGCTTAAAATTTACGGGTCAGTTTCCTGGAATAAAGTGAATCTAGTGCAACGTCCTTTAAGAAAAACAAATTTGGTATTTCGTAGGCAAAAGTGATTTTTTTAGCGAAATTGCGGACAATCCGCGAAGCATGAGTAATAGTTTGTAGGATTCTCACTTCCGATCGGAGAATCGAACATGCCGTATCTCGAGCCTGTGGGCTCTATATTGGCTCCGAGTATTAGATATAACAAGAGCTTTTAGTTTCCTCGGAACCAGGGAAACGCGTGCATAGATAAAATACACTCGACTTGAGAAAACCTTGCTCTCTCCTCTCAGGCGTATATCAGGTTTATATACAGGGTGTCCCAGTTGTTTTCGATCACTTTGTTTTCGAACTTTGTCAGTATGTTCTATGGGTATAAGTAAAAAAAAAAAGTTGTATAAACATAGGTAGTTTGAAGCTTTATTAAAAAGTTATAGCAATAATACGAAATAGGAAGGGAATGGTAACGGATCCACGGTTATGATTCAAAACAAGAATAGATCAGCGATGTGTACGTATGCACAAGCTGTGTGCGATCTAAAGTTGTTGAAGTTGTCCAATGGATCCACGGTTATGATTCAAAACAAGAATAGATCAGCGATGTGTACGTATGCACAAGCTGTGTTCACGATCTAAAGTTGTTGAAGTTGTCCAATGTAACTTCTGCCAGTGCCACTCTTGTCTCGTATCATAGTAACCGCAAGTCCGTTACCGTTCCCTTCGTACTTCGTATTTTTGTTGTAACTTTTTAACGAAGCTTCAAACGACATATGTTCACATAACTTTTTCTTCTTACTTACACCCACAGAATGCGCCGACAAAGTTTGATCGGAAATAATTGGGTCACCCGGTACGTACAACCCGGACCTTTTGAGTTATTAGACAAATAGGACATACTCTTTCAGGAAGCTGCTCACTTAGTCGTCGTTCCAGGTTACAAGGCACCCTGAAGTGTCGTTTTCAGCGGGCGGCCACGGATAGGCGGAGATGCCAGCAAATTGCTCATTCACAGCAGGTTGGCCTAGTCGGTCGATTATCCTGCACCGTCACGGCAGCCATCTCTAAACACTGCTTACAGGTCAATCCGTGAATCTATGAACACGTCAGACAGGCAGACTTGACAAATAACTCGCGTGTCCTACTGCAGGTAAATACCCGCACGCGGTTGCTCCCCATTTACTGTGAAAAATGACACAAAACTATCGAATCACGATCGCACAATCAGCAAACCAGCAAACGTTCGTCTACATCGTTGTAAAATTAGCCGATAAGTAAACGCGAAAGCTCTCGTTTCACAAAGTTACCGGAATGGACTTGTATTTTACTTTGGAACTAATAACAAATAGCCCATTCTTGAAACTATATAGCTCGATAAAAGAGTATACATTTAAACAAACTATATGGAACTACTTCTAATTGAGTTTCCTCGAATATTAACGGTTATAACGTTTGATTGAAGTAGATTATCGGAATAAAACTTGCAATAACACTTCATTTTAACTACTAGACTTAATTGTGCCTGACTGTTACCTATATTCGTGATAATTTCTTGGTGGAAAGAGATTTTGGTTAAACATAGCGGAAAATGAGTGATCGAAGAGTATTCTAGGCTTCGATAAATCGGAGTTTTGCGATGGTATAATTGCTTTAGATTGTCGTTGGCTTAATTGCATTTGTGTTTAAGAAGTTTACATTTAAAACGTTCATATTTTGCTTCGAATAACGGAATGGTTTTTAATAGTTGAAAATTGAATTCTGAAATAATATTACTATACTTGGTTCATTACGTTCGAAATTTTCTCATTAGTGTTCAATCGTTACATTAAAAATACACAATTATTCGTGTTCGTTTGATTTTCAAATAATGTTCCTACTTTAACATTTGTAAAGAATTTTACGAAAACGAAGTTTTTTCTTACTTTTACTGTATGCAATTCGTTCGTTAACATCTGGTACACTCTGTATATTCAAAAATTATTCTTGCGAAATAGTAAACGACAATCTGCTATTATTCCACTTACGAATGCTATGCGATAAGAAACAATTTATCGTTACACCATAACAAAATTAATTCTACTGTGACTTTAATTAATGCAGAATCTATAATTGACATATACTTCAATATTATACAACATATTTCAAAATTCATTGAAATATTCTACAGTCACAGAGAATAGATGAAGGTTGATCGTCTCGTTCAATTTCTTCCTTATATTATCTACGCTTTTCACATAATCTTTCTCTCGCTTATTGCGAGATAACGAGCTGGAACGAGCCTCGGTGAGGAATCAAAGGGAATCGAGTCCGTACATTCAATTCGTGGGCGTTCTGCAGGAACGATCGTCTCCCTCTCATTTTATCCTCCTTTTGTAATCCTTCTCTTCGATTTTGCTCATTAGAGCAGCATTTCTATTCTTCACTTTTCATCGACTTTTATGCAAAAACTGTAGAAATTTGAAGAACATGTAATTTTTAAAACTGCTACTACTGCTATTAGTGTGTATTTCATATGTAAAATGTGGACACTTTCGAAGTTTAAAGGCCCAGTAAATATCTGAAGGTCGAGCTACACGCGATCTGTTAAGTATGGCTCTTACGACCGAACCAAATACTTCCTAATCTTACAAAAAAGGGTTGTTACCCCCTTTTGCAACTACGGACGAGATATCTCGCGACGCGGAGTCGTTCTTGCGACGCTACGGACGACATTGGGTTAACTATAAGGACATCCACGTTACGCTATTTAGTCTAGAGCACCCCCATAGAAAGTGTTAAGAGTACACTATTAGAAGCGGTGCCTTGTCCGTGGAAGCTGGCTCATCCCACCACTAAAATTACTGAATTTTTTAAAAATAAAATATATTCTAAATATATTTTTATTAGGGGAAACAATAAAATTTTGTTTCAAACGAAACTCAAGATCTTGCAGTTGTTAGAATTCAGTGTTAAGGTACACCTTGTTCATAGAAGCTAGCTCACCTCACTACTAAAATATTACTCATTTTTATTAACAGCGTACGGGAAAGAATAAGATTTTATTTCAAGCGAAACTCAAGATGTGACATTTGTTAGAGTTAAAATATATGTAATTTAATCTGCATCGCTCTACAAGTCTATGAATGTGTGAACGAAAACTGAGAATATCTAATAAATGAAGATGACTTTAACAATCTTGAGATTGCCCGTAAAAGGCAGGAATCTACTATTACGAAAGAGTACATATGTTGTTTATAAACAGTAAAAATAATGAAATTTGAGGAGAAGCCTTAAGGTACACCTGGTGTAGTGTACTGTACTCCTTTAGAAACATTGTGATAAACTTGGGAACACCGGGTATTCACGAAGCATCGATGTACATACGAGATAAGCCAGCGTAAGGCAATATTGTTGAAGCCAATATTTGTAAGCTTGTCAATTAGTATAAACTGACTGATCCTATTAAAGGCTTTGTTAAAGTTAACGTACAGGGTGTCACGCCAAACTTTGCCACCCTTAATTATTTCGTTATTTGTGAAGATAGGAAGAAATGAAGAAATTAGAATATATTTCGAATCGTGCAAAAAGGCCTATCAATATAAAAATACCAAATCAATTCGTAATTATTTTGAAAGTAGGACTTTCCTGAATATAAGGATTCGAAGAATAAAATTCCGTTATATGCGTTCCATTAATTTTTGCACGAGGAAAAAAGACATCACTGCTGCCGAAACTTTGCGTAAAATAAAATTTTCAATCCTGAACTGATACATTTTCTGGATTCTTCTTATTTCACGTTATTTCCATAATATGTGCGATTATTACGTTATCTCCATAATATACGCGATCGAGTGGTGTTAAAAGAAGGAACAGTTCGTTTATTGCCGAGGATAATTAAAACACTTCAATAACCTCGATTTGGTGTAAGACGTTAATCAATTTAACTTTTTTTTTTTTATCTAACTTTTCGTACCGTTTATTCAAATTTCTCCATATGAAAAGGTACAATTACAATTCAGGTATATTTTACAAACTAGAATTGTGCAATACGATTTAATCGAATTCCCGAGAATCAAGCCAATTACGATTCCACGTTTCCATTGTGTACGCTCTTTTTTAAATTTCGCGAATTGCACGAAAAAAGCAGTTCGATTTAAAAAAAAAAAAAAAAAATAAAGAACACAACATTTTACAACACTGTTGAAATAAAAGAGCGGACAGAGAGAGGGGGAGAGAAAGAAAAGTATAGAAAAGGAGTGGAAGATATACAAGGTAAGAGGAGACAGAAAAAGAGAAAAGCTGACAGAATCAGGAAGGAGCGAAAGAGGAAGCATTCATCTAAACGAGCAGATCCGTAATCCTTTTACTGCCGCACGATGAAAGGCTTTGACGCTGACGAGCTTAGCGCTTTGCGACTTTCGGAACCGTGTCAAGCTGGTCTAAAAGACGAATCAACTAGACGTCCTACCTTTTAGACGTTCAGGTCGTCTTATTCGATGCTCTGAATTATTTACTTCTTAGTTCTTCACCAATCTGAAATGTAATTTTACAAAATCTGCAAAATCTTAATTAGCAAGCCTGTTCAAAAAAAGTCTTTCTCGCTTTTGTCCTGAAATTTTGTAAGTAGCCTTGACGAAAAATGACGAATAAACAGTTCCCACAAACGTGGGAATAGAAAGCATCAGAGTGTAACTTAACGATGAAATTTCACGTAGGATGAAATTCAACGGCTACAAAATTAAAATATTTTGAAAATTATTAGTATTTTGTTGCTGATATCTTTTTAAACACCGACTGTAACATAACCAACTATGACAGATGTTGAGAATGTTAAGGGAATTCGTCGTGTATGTGTTTCAGCTAGTAGCCCAGGAGAGACGACTATCAACTTCTGCCTCGCGAACAATGGCCGCAATGAGTTTAGGATTCATTGTTATGGTCACACCATGGACGATTCAAGAAGTCGTCGCAGCTTGTACCGGAAGCAAACCACCACCATTCCTCGACTTCCTTGCCACATGGCTCGCGCTTTCCAACAGCTTCTGGAATCCGTTCCTCTACTGGCTGCTCAACACTAATTTTCGCCGTATTTCAAAGGAGCTTCTTTACACAAAGGTAAGCACAATCGGTTACCAAGTAGTCACGAATATATTACACTCCTTTCTCCTTTCGACTTTTGTATCTTAAACGCGCAGCAATTTATGAAACTGATCGAGCGAACAGAATTCCTAAATTTCACAAACTTAACGAAATTAATAAATATTAATGCTTCGTAATGATTTCGATACATTTGCTACGACAGTTGAATATACAAAGCAGCACATATACCGTATTTTTCACCCCCTTATTTTCCTTGGATATTTTTCGGAAAAAAATAACCGAGTGTTTCTCGCATGGAAAATAGGCGCTTTGTTGGCGTTCATTCCATTGTACAAGCTTGCCGGTATGTTTGTACCTGCTTGAGGTTCTAAGAGAGGGAAACGAGGGTGGTTGTGAATTGTGATGCTTGTTAACACTCCAGCAATGTTTGCGTGTTTTTCGCACCTCGATTTTCGATTAATAAAAAATGGCAAAAATAGGCGCGGAAACACAGTATGTATGTGAAATATGAGGAGCATTGTTGGCAAAGTATTAGAGATCGCTGCATACGAAATGACCAACTACAAATAGGCAGAAAAATTATGCTCGAAATTTATTAATGTTTATTGAAAATTAGTAGAACGATAAAAGTTGAACAATAAGATGCTAAAATTCGATAAATACACAAAGGATCGAGAGAAATGGAGGCATCGTCGATTTTATAAAGGACGCTATAAACGCCACAAAATCCATGTCATGCAACTTCTGGTGAAGACTCGCATAATACGGATGAAATATTCGACCAGGGAGAATTCGTGATACACATCTGCTGCTGATTCCAGACTGACGTTTTGTCTCTCGTGCACAAATCTTACGAACAACGAGGTTTTCGGTTTCCCTCAACTTCTGACACGATATTTCGAACACCCGGTGTAAAGGACACTTGCGGTTCGAACATTACATAGTCGGTCGTGCAGACGAGTCGAACAAGCTTAGTATCATAAGGCAATAGACCATTCTGTCTACCCGAATTTTAACTAAAAGTTAAAATTTCAGTATCATAAAGGAACTAGCAATTTTACGATAAAAAGTCATCCACTCGTCTGGTTCATCTCCGATACCCTTCTTTCTTTTCCTGGTTACTCGAGCTTAGTATTTACCTTTGCACTTAGAACTCCCTGTTCTGTCGAATTTTACTGTAAAAAATCGGACATTTCATTTGAAAAAGTAAAATTAACCTACAGATCTCCTATGAAGATCGGTCAGCTGTAAAGAAACTATTGTCACCATGGTGTCTTTTCTGCAATAATTTTTTGAAATATTTTCGCTTATTATTTGAAACAATGGAGATATCTGAGGTAAACAGAATTCATGGGATCTGTATAAAAATAAATGATTCTATCACTCCGACATTTCGATATCATCAATATTTTGTTAATAAAAATGGTGTTCGAAATTTTCTTCTTCAACCTATGAATAATTACTTTTTTATTATTTTTTAACCTAATTGATTTATGATCATTTTTAATTTTAATATTTGCATTGCATTCGTCTCACCGTGAAAAATGATCTCGAGCTATTTTTGGCATATTATTGTTTAAAAATCCAGTGTGTGTGAAAAGTATACCGCTTAACGTCATTTAATTTAGTCTATTTTATTTTCGCGTTAGGAATGTTTTGGAAAATGTTCAGTTGTCGCGGTTTTTGTGGTTCGCCGTGTACATGCACGTATATTTCATGTATATCGTTCCTCTATTAGCATGCACACCTGCATACCGTTACATAGCACTCTTAATTGATCGAATAAATGTAATGTACGAGTTATATCCACCCTGGAAAGCTATAATTTGTTTAGTTACCGCTAATGATCTGTTATGAATGATGAATGAGATAATGCAAACATTGAGCTTCTCCCGGTACACGTTGACTTTTCTGGCGTTTGCTGCAGCTTGTACGCATACGCATTAAGTATCGATTCAACTGTACACAAACCGGGTGTCTAAAAAAATATGTTACTTTCGTGAAAATGTGGCAAAATAGCAGGTTTAAAAGTGTCAAATTCTCATATGATTCTGTGATGTAGCGTAACAAACTTCCTTTTGTGGTAAATTTCAACGGCAGTGATATTTTTCTTTAGATACAGATACCTCTTTGCGTTTGTATAAAGTAGAAAATTAAAAAATTAACGAATTTTGTAAATATTTTTTATCGTAATAAAATAGTATCTTACTTTATTTCGAAATATCTGGTATACACCCAAAAAAGAAATCTTACATACAGATATAAGGTATACATTATAGCGGTAAATATACATTATTGTTTGACGGTTGATTTTTGTTGTTTTTAGGAGTGATTCTAAACAAAAATATTCTTTACCATTCTATTTATATACAGGGTGTTTGGTAACTGGTGGTACAAGCGAAAAGGGGGTGATTCTACATGAAAGAATAAGTCGAAAATATAGAATAAACATTTTTCGTTTGAGGCTTTGTTTTCGAGAAAATCGACTTTGAATTTTCTTCGAGTACGCATGCACCCTACTATGTCGTGGATGAACGGATCTCGATATAGACCATATGTCGTAGGTTTATGAGTAATAATAAAGCATGTAATTATCAAGATTTACTTTATTAATGCAAAAATTGTTGAAAATGCTGGCCACCGTACACCGAACGTCGAGATCCATTCATCCACGGCATAGTAGGGTGCATGCGTACTCGACGAAAATTTAAAGTCGATTTTCTCGAAAACAAAGCCTCAAACGAAAAATGTTTATTCTATATTTTCGACTTATTCTTTCATGTAGAATCACCCCCTTTTCGCTTGTACCACCAGTTACCAAACACCCTGTATAACTCAATATTCTAGAGATATTGTTAACGAATACCAATAGCAGTCTAATGCTACCTATATCTTCTTTCAAATAGAAATAAAATATAAATATTTTGTAAGTATTGATTTTTCACACTTTTGCAAAGAATTTAGGCTGTTACTTAATAATTATCGTCTATAGCTCGTCCATTAATTTTGTGGTTGAATGATTTAATACTTATAGTAGGACGATTCATGAGAAATCAAACGAAGTTCGATCAAATTGCTCAACTATCTGAATAATTTAATTACCATTTTGCGATTCTATGATTTAGAAATTGTTTCAAAAATGCTCTGCATACGTAAAATGTTTACATCTTCAAAGAACAAAAAATCGTATTCTTTGAGAAAAATTGCGGTACACAATAGTTGCCCGTACGGGCAGTTTTCAGTCTATTCCGGGGACACAACGATCGGCAGACAGTAAGCCACGCCTTCACGAGCAACGATTGTATGGCGGGACACTGTACAAATGTGGTAGCGATTGCTCGACCTAAGAATAAGAATTATGCTTCGAAGGTAATGTGATCAAAAATGAGGGTATCGAACATATTTGGTCAAAATTATCCATTATTTTTTATTTCTCAAACCTGTTGTTGAAAAATACAAAATTCTTCGTTATTCTTTATTTCTCAAATTTTTACTTGGAAAATACAAAATTCGTCAATTTACACAATTTCCCTCTACTTCCGATAATTTTCCAGATGTTAGACAAACTATATTTTACCACTTCCAAATTTGAGGGCGATTTTCACCCCTTCAGTGTGACCGATTGTCGGTAAAAAAAGACATGTGAAATATTTTTGTTTTTGGTATTACCGTATACCAAAGTTTCGTCAAAATCGATGATTTTCGGGATGCTCCCTTGTTAAGGATTTACTTCGATCCGTGGCAGACTAACAGTTGCGAACAGAAACGTGTACGTTTCTCGAGGATTAAAATTGATGGGACGTAGACGAGCTTTTCAGAATTCATGGGTTGTAAAGTCGAAAGCAAGTATAACTGCTACCACGAGGGTCAACATAACGTATCGTTGGGGTATGTTGAATCAGTGAACAGCATGGGGAAAGTGTGAAAAGCGCAGAGGAGAAAGGGTCGTTAAGTTGTAAAAAGTATTGGAAACGAGCCGTCTCCCCAAACGCCAATTGGATAAAATAAATTTTATGCTTCCGCCACGTTTTATCGTACGGCAATGTTTTTATCGTAACTGTTTTATCGTTATTTTCCTTGAATTTTCTTGCATATTCTATCAGGTACGACGCTATTCTGGAAGATTAATAAGTAATGAAAACTGAATTTAATACTTGGTAATTTATACAAAAATAGATTCTTCTTGAATATGAACTTTTATCCGTATTATTTTACTCGATTTTTCTGATTAATGCAAGACGTTGTTAAGTTACAATAGCGAACACGTTATGAAATGAAAGAAGATCCTTCGTGAATTTTATTTCCATTAATTTAATGTCGAAATGTATTATTTTCACATAACACGCGTAGTTTGAACATATAAAAATTGATTCAACGTTGGTGGCTTATAAGCTGCAACGTTAGCGAAGTATCAGCAAATACTAGTACACGAGGATCCTTGAATGTGGCTCTGTTTTTACAGCTTTCGAACATACTACCTGTGACAGTACAAAAGAGTGACGACAAAACTTGTAGATCTCCGATTTCCGTTTGAAAGTTTCGCTTTCAATATTAACACGCTGTTATTTCCGTTTTATATAATGTTTTAAATAATGCGTTACGTACGTTGTGCAAAAAGTAACAACTATCTGAATACAATATTCGTAGAAGAATATAAAAGGTAGACATCAGAAGTAGCAATTTTTGCAAATTATTTTCACACAGATCAGTAATGTCACACAGCGATAAAAAAAGATATAGCACCCCATTTGAAGAAAATACAGATGACCTTAAAATCTCTCACCCACGTAAAAAGTACTATATTCACGTCACAGTATATGTTTCCTTTCATATTATGCAAGTTTTGTATATACCATTTTTCCATATTATTGCAAATAACAGAAACATTCCAGGTGGACAAAGTTTTCTGTCCCACCCTGTATAAATGATCTTCTGTTTTTCTCGTTTATGCAGATACTTTGTAGACCAAAACCCTTAGGACCGAAACAGCACTGTTGCGCGACAAGCACCGGTGGTCTTGATGTCTGCAGCGTAGGAGGAGTCGACTTATTTGTATATAATCTCTTTAAATATTATATTACAGTTCCTAAATACAATTCAACTATTGTTTAAGTTTTCTTAATATTTTTCTAGTATCATTTTGCCTTTGTTATTAACGTAACTTCTTGTGCTTTCTCATTTTAACATTGCACACTGTGCGCTAAGTTACGTCGAATATATAATCAGTTTGTTTATTAAACTAAACGTACAAAATTGGATGCATGATCAAGAAATCAGTATACGTCTTTCGTCCTCTGATCATTGTTTCGGGCTTGCAGGCGCACCATTCGATAACTCAAAGGCTGATTAGGTAGTGATATCGCACTTTTATAATTAAAATTTTATCGCTCGATTCTAATTTTCAATTTTTTCTAAGCATACGGACTCACAAAAGTATTTTCTACAATTATTCATCCTCGCTCCTGCATACTCTTTTCCTTTTCTATTTCTCCATCTCTTTCATTCCATGCATACAGTCTTCGAAAATATTTAGTCACATCTATATGATATCTCGAGTAATTCTGACCAAATATTTTTCTTTCACACCTCTGAGGAGAATTGCAAAATGAACTTATTCGTTGCCTAGAACTTCCTCTTAATGATCAGCATCATAAATTCCGGAAAGCCTTTATTGACATTTTACAGGATAAAATTCTAGCCTTTACCAATCAGATTCCTCGTGTAATCGATTTTTTCTAGTAAACCTGCGTAAATCGGTGACTTATTCATCCCGTTATAGAAAGAAGCAGCACTGTTTAAAAACGCTGTTTAAAGGAAGTTGTTGGATTATTTCTAAAAACACCCTATGGAAATAATCAAGCGAGGACAAAAATATCTCCGCGTTATTTTAGACAAAGGCACTAAGGCATCCACCAGATGTGTCTGGTGTCCGTCTTCGAGTCACGCACTGCACAATGCGATAGTAAACAGTTCCTAGGTATAAGGGGACCCCAACTTTCTTTTTGGGTGCCTAGAAACAGTCCTTTAGAACGTTCAATAGCGTAAAGACGTTTCCTCTGAGTCCGTCAATAAATAGCATACTACAAAGTTAAAAGACTATTTCTTTTTCATAACCCATTTCCAATAGAAGTTATTCCACTTTGATTTTTCAATTTCAACGATATCATTTTCTTAAATACTACTCTTTTATATAATGTAATTTTATGCACGACTCTTAAAAAATGGTTTTAAAACTTGTTTCTAATCCATTACATTTTAAATTTCCTGAATAATCTACACTTCCATTCTCGCAAGGACCATTACTAAACTTGGGTGCTTTCTAATTAGCGCGTGCCGTAATAACTTTTCTTACGAGGAGAAGTTTCGTGACAACGATGTTTATCGGATCCTTAAAAATTTACGATTTCTATCTACTCGTTTGGATAACTTAATAAGCGTGACAGTAAAAGTGTCGAATTGATCTTTCAGGAAAGATATTCGCACACAGCAAAAAAAAAAAAAAGGTATCGATAGAGCTAACAATTTTTGTCGTACAGCCTAAAATTTCTATAGTAGAAGAGACTGGTGGAGGGTTTTCGGAAATTTCAAAGTCGCCTCTAGATTTTAAATAGCATGCTACACTTTTTTGTTCTTAGTAGAATCGCTCGTGTTACTAAAACAAAAATCGCTTTTCTCTCTTTGACTCTACGGATTTTTCAACCTACGTATATCAAACATTTTTAACTTAGTTTAACGAGCACTATGCGCCCCAAAAATGGTTAATCCTTCTTTGACTAGCTTGTACGTTAGTTTCTGTCAAATGTTCCGCAAATGATTGATGCAGGAAGAACTTTTTCTTGCATACAAAATAAACGTTCTGGTTTCGCACAATTATTACTTTAACCGTCCAGTTCCAAATATTAGCGAATGATTAATTTGATTTTCCACACTATTAACCGTATTTTATGCGCGCATGCGCTTACGTGTTCACATAGAAACTCACAAAGATCAGACATTGATCCAATTTTCACATAACTAGCAAACTCAAAAGATACATGTGCTCCCTCGTTTAAAATTTCCTTAGCGTAATTTTGTTAGGATGCATTTTAAATTACATCGAAAGTTTTGAAGTCTTTGTACTGGAAAAATTAAAATGATAAATAAGTAAACAGTAGCTTTATTCGCTATTAAATATAACGAAATTTCTGAATTTAGTTCAACTTGGTACAGTATCTCAAATTTAAACGAATTTTCAGCACAGCGCAAACTGAAGATTTAGTTTCAAATAATTCACAATTCATGATTATTCGAATAATAAGTTCATTCGTCTTTCTTATAAAAATATTACGTCCAACTACTTTCATATCAACAATGTCTAACCAATAATACGAAGAACTTAAGAACAAAAATAATACAATTCGATCAGAGCTGAAAAACTATCGTAAATATAATAAAATAATCGTCATGACAGGGATACAATAAAAAAGTAAGACTCTAACAGAATTTGCATTTCTTAATTGTGTATCCACTATGAAAGCCAGAGAAAAAAGTATCATCTTACAAATCAGTCTAAACGTATATGTATATGTATACAGTGTTCTGTCGAACTACGCGTAGGTTTAGAGACGTCGACTGTCTGCGTAGTTGGGAACCATCCCCCGGTTTTACGGAAAACTGAAGTCTGATCGTCTGCACTGCGTGTCAATTGTCGTATATTGTCGTTAGAATAATAACAAACGAAGTAGGTCGTGTGTAAAGACTTAGTTGTTTACTAAGAGACAGTGTTTTACCAGAAAAGGATAGAATATGTATATGTCTCGGGGAGACAACAGTAAAAAACCTAATTTGTTGTTGTTTCATAGCTATAACACATCTTATTACAAGAAACTGTAGCTGTGTAGCTCGCAGAGCACGCTTCTCGGTTGATTTTTCTCCTACGCTGAGCTGTTCGTTGTGTACTTGAATTCGGTGCACTAGTTTCTTGTATGCAGCGGCACTTAATTCACACAAACGAATATGCTAAGTACGTAAATTGATTGGAAAACCGCGTATAATCGAAAACGCGTTGCTCGATGTATTCCCTACAAGCCTATAATCGCACTGTATAAGCGACGTTCGTCGTTCGTCGAGGCACTCGTTCGACTGCCTGGTAAACACCGACTGAGGACGAGTCGTCCTGCCCGATTTCTGATCGCTGTACGCTCGCAACTGTTCTAGGAAAAATTCTAGGCCTTAACTTCTTAGAACTCGTGATATTTCTTGCGAGCCAAACATAAGAAACGCGAGGCAAACATAAGAAACGTGAGCCAAACATAAGAAACGCGAGCCTGGGTCGCTGTACGTACATCGAGCAAAACAGAAGCTAGCTGCCTGTTCGCACACAGAAAAGAGTTTTTATATTACTTTTATTGGCAAACCGAGAACAAACGTCACGCACGTGGTCTTAATACAATACAATACGCCATACTTTTTTTCCCTCGACGCATGCGCGAACGCCACTCCCAACGCCGCTCGACGCATGCGCGAACGCCGCTCGACGGACGCACGCCGATCACGATAAAAAGACGCGCCCCTTTTAAATTCAAACCGTTACACT